TTTACTCGTGCTGCTCGATTCCGCGGTTGGAATACAATAATTTTATTCTCACGAGAGTGTTGTTTTATTGGAATTGAGGAATAAATTGGCGGAAACAGAATGGAAATGTGGGATGTCAGACAATGAGGTACTTGTACGTCACGTGTATGATTATTATATGGATTTATGTTTCTATATTATATATTATATAAGGATAGAAATGGGGTTGTGTGAGTGTAGTGATGCATCAGTTGTAGTGTAGCGTAGAAGCTTTTAGTTTGATTACGGTTATTGATGGAGTGGATGCTGATAGGTGAGACGATAGAGAATTAATTATTCTTGTTACTTTGTTACGCTCTTTCTGTTGTTTTTAATTTGATTAAGTTTGCGAATTATTAATGAATTGATTGTGAAAAATTATTATTACTTTTTTCTATTTGTTTTTTTATTAACGATAAAGCTTCCTCTTTATCTATCTTTATCGTTTCAAATTCATTTTAAATGAATTCTACCATTGATAATTATTCTAAAGAGAATAATATAAAAAGAAATCTCTATTTTAAAAATTTCCCTTAATCGAGAATTTATTTATGCATTACAATAAGATATAAAAATTTGTAAACCATTATTGAATTAAATAAAAAAATTAATTATATGCCTGTATTGTAAATAAAAGAATATCTTTTTATTTATTAAAAAAAAAAAAAACAAAATTTTGAATTAAATTTTGATCCTGACAGATATTGTCTAAGGACAATCTTTTTGAATTATTAATATCTTATTATAAAAATATTAAAGATTTCAATTTAATTTCTTTATCATCCTATCTATTCTTCCAATTTTCCAAAGAATGTTTTAAGTAACCAGGAAAAAAAAAATAATAAGAAAACGATTAAATAAACTGTTACTGTTATTTGAAACGATATTAATTTATGTAAATGGAAATAATTTCCTAAGCACGGCATCAGTGGAACAAAGCGTGTAATGCCGTTTGCAATTCTCTTAATGAAATGTGCCTATTCCTGGTGGTGAGAACGATAAAATAATTAAAGAAACTATGGCATGCGAACTATTTTCTTAATCACGAAAGACGAATACACGATTATTATTGTTCACGGCTTATGAAAGGATTAATGAAAGGATCGGCGAATACGATTAATAGAGCACAAGTGTTTTATATCATACCAGATTCTTTTTTTTTTTCTTTTTTTTCTTTTTTTTTTTTTTTTCCTTTTTTCAGAGAGCTTCGAAATATGAAATTTACTCGTTTACGCTCACTGGCTATGAAATAATTAATAAAACATTCGTTGCAACTTATCGTAATCGATGAGATATAAAATGCAACTTCCTGTGAGAATTCGAATAAGATGAAGTGAGTAATTAATTAATCATTCAAATATTAATTCAAATTACAAGTAAATGAAATTAGCCTCCAATTATTTTATTTCATAATTTACATATACATCCAATAATAAAACTCAGAACTCATGTTGGTAATAAAATTGTTTACAAAATTTTGAATATAAGATTATATGATAATATATTTATTTAAATAAATAGCCAATTTTAAAGGAATTAATTCGTGATAAATTTAATTAATATTTAAATAATTAAAACGATATATTATTCAACAAATATATTATACTACTCAATCTTCGGATATTCTACTCAAATAATATCCAAAAAACGTGTTTTCCACGCCGGAAAATAAATTCTGAATTTAAATCCACGTAATCTAAAATTTTTGTATATAGAACACGAGGTATCCAATTTTTGCAACCATTATCAATTTCATTCCCCATCACGATGAACGAACCCCGGTATACTGAGGGGCGCATTCGCGATTGTTCCAATCGAAACTCGGCGAATTAAATTCATAAATATTTATTAAAAAATCCGGCTTGTTATAATCGACACCGTCACACCGGAAGCGTTAAATAAATATCCGTTTTCTCGTGAATAATAATTGCATACGTGGTCCGCGTGCAAATTTTCACCGCGAATTCCAACCTCGTTTGGCGAAAATCAACGAAAATAAGCTATGTAATACATAAAAAAAAAAAAAAATAAAAAATATATATATATACATGTATAGATAAAATAGAAAAATAAAAGAGATGGAAAAGAGAAAAAGGAGAAAGAGAAAAAAATTTGTCGGTAATCCAAAGTAAAGTGGCATGTATAAAATTAACAGATCGCGCGGTTTGTATGTAAATTTGATATACGACGACGGAAAGTTGATATATCATTTTATATGCATATTCATACAGCGAATTCATACAGCGACCTCGGTATTTGTTTTACGAGCACGCCTATGGCTCCATTATTCTTCCTATTCAGGGAATTTATAAACGGCATGGAAATGTCTCTTTTAGTTTCTCTGTCGCATTTTATCAAATGTATAAAATCGTATTTTTCACCGTGAAAAAAAGGAGAAAAAAAAAAAAAAAAATATTCGCGACGTATGGTTGCGAATATCGCGCGCGCGATTCGAAAGTAACGATTGTAAAATTGGTAAAGCGGAAAAAGGAGAGAGAAAAATATATCAAATATCAAATATTATCCTCTCTATGGTAATTCAAAGACAATAGGAGAGGAATCTGATTAACGAAAAAAAAAAAAAAAAAAAAAAAAAGTTGACACAATTTATTTCAATGGAAACTTTCTATTCGACTTTCACAATTTTCGTTACTCTTCCCTCTCTTTCGGTCGAAATAACGAAAATTGCGCAATTCGTATACGCTAACCGGTCGGTTAAAGTTATGCTAATTAAGTTATCAGGATTCATTCGGTTTCATTCCAATTAATTTCTGCCGTTTCGTTTAATAAACAATCGCAGTTATCTTGCATTCACGTTGATGAATCTTTAAACGTAATTAAATATAATCCTACATATGTGATATCCCGTGTTATGGCAACGTATTCGCGATGTGATAAACAACGAGCGAGTATAATAAATTCGGGAATGTAGTAAATTTTATTAATACGTTGGTTGGTTATAAATATCGTGATATTTTCCCATTTTTATCAATTCTTGTTGATCAAGTTTAACGAAACGTGTTAATCTTGCAAATTTTCCTTATTTTTATGAAAATTTTATTTTAATTTCGAATGCATATTCAAGACAGATTTATGATGCATTATATGATATAATACACGGTAAGTGTATATTCAAAATTTCTTACCTCATTTAATTCCTGATTTCAGTAATTTCTTTAGAACTGAATAATTCTTTAGAATTAAAGTAACATGTTTTATTAATAAAAAATTTAATACAAGTCGTAAATTTACAAATTACGATACTTGTAATTCCTTTTGAAAAACAATAACAAAATCGATTTAAATTAAATGAAGTTTTTAAAATATTTTATTGAAAGTAATAAATTATTCCAATTTTAACTACAAACATTATAAATCTTTATTTTCAAAGTTTTTATAATAACAAATAATGATAAATAATATATTAATTTTGAAGATAAATCATGAAATAAATTGAATGCATCATAAATCAAACTTGATGAATCAAATATAAAAGTTCCAGATTTTGCGTTCCAAATATGTAATAAAAATTGTATGACTAATTGTTTGCATACGTATATTCATTCTTGTTTATATAATATACAAATAATCGTATAAAAAAAATAACATTTTTAATTTTAATATGAAAATTGATTAAAATTCTTTATTATAATTTCGATCTTCCATTAAAATTAACCAAAAAATTAATCAATTCACATATCACATAACGATAATATCTAAAAATCTTCCGAACAAAAAACAAAAAATTTCTAAATATTTTTATATATAATATTAAATTATTCGCAAATATAAATCTATTTGCAAATATTGGGCAAAATTTTTAAAACATTACTTACAATTCTTCCATAGTCTTAGTACTTCAGCGACCTCTTTAATCCCGACGCCATTGTTAACCTCATTATCACTCTATCACTATCACTCTTTTACCACGTGTTCCTCAATTAATTACTATTAATTAATCATTATTAGTAATAATGAAACATCTACACGATGCTCGTTAACACAAACAACTCTAAAAATAATGTCCTCTTCGATTAGATCAACGTAACGATAACGAGAGTTCGAACGAAAAGAAACGAGTGGAACTCGCGTCAATTATCCCCTCAATTCTCATAATTATACTCCCGCGCACAAGAATCGAATTAATTATTACTAAAAACAATTAATCAATGTCGGTAATTGTTAGTAAGAATCATTTTCTGATCGCAAATTGGATGCGAATTAATTTTATTTCACGATTAGAACATCGAAATACGACGTAAACACGGCGGTGGTCGACGAAAGACTAAACGAATCGACTCGGTTCGACGCAACCTTTGCCATTGTTTTGATCGACGAATATCGAAGAATCTCAAGGTTTGTTGATTATTGCCGTGCTACGTGTATCGGAATTCCAGGAATTAATCCGTGAAATATAATTTTCGCGAATTATGAAAAAATCTCGCGTGCGGACTGTCGTCGCGCGAAATAAAAAAACTGATTATTAAAAAATGTTCCATTAAATTTTAAACACACGATGTAACGAATTAAAAATAAAAAAATATTTGTGCCGTTGTCAAATGATCAAAATATAAAAATAATTAAAAGGCATTTTTAAAAAATTTTTTTTTATAAAGTGGTATCGTGTTAAAACATTTACAGAAATGAATTATTCCATAAAAAAAAATTTTGATGTAGAATCATTGCGTATTAAAAAGAAAATACAAGAGATGCAAATTTTAGTAAAAAATTTTATAAAAAATATTAATTTTTTATCAATTATCTGGAATCATAAATTTCTAAAATTATTTATCTTTTTCAATTTTCAATTTTAAAAAAAAAAAAAAATCAACTTACCTCTTATATAAATCGATGAAGATAGCACAAAAGAGGAGAGAAGGAATGGATGATGGTGCACATTTATCACACGATACTATGTAGTGTTGAGAATAAATTAATATATTTGAAATGAATATACGGTAGATACTGTCTCGCATCCCAAATTTTATGGCATCTCATAACATCTCCTCTCTCTCTCTCTCTCTCTTTCTCTCTTTTTCTTTCATTCTCTCCTTCTCTTTCTCTCTCTCTCTCTTCTCCTCTTCACTCTTCTTATCGATCTTCAACATCTCTGTCTTTCTCTCTTTCTCTTTTTTTCTCTCTTTCTCACAAAATGCACTCTTGCACGACGCATAAAAAAAGAAGAAGAGGAGATATATCCCGTAATTCAGCTTTGTACCGCTTCTTTATTTTCTCATCGGCATCCCTCCACGCAATGTCTAAAACTTTCGATTTAATCTCTATTGTTATATATACACGCGTGCCAGGCGAAAAATCTCTATTGCTTTTTTAAATAATATCCGCGAATCAGACGAACACTGGGAGGGGTATCGGCTACGAATCAGATTTAAATAAAACGGAATCGTCCATACTTTCGAGCTATTTACATTAAATACACGCGCAGTCTGTCGCTCTCTCGCACACGCATCCTCACTTAACGTAATAACTCTCTCTCTCTCTTTCTCTCTCTTTCTTTCTCTCTCCCTCTACACATAACACTTGAAGAAGAGAGGGAAGAAAAGAACGATTTATCCGTGTGTTTTATTGCACATTCTCGTCTCGATCTCCACACTCGAACACGCAGGACAAAAGAAGAAAGTCAGAACCACGCAGTGACACGCAGTCTCAACGTCACTCACGCACTCGATGCAGATATGTCGAAACTGATATAAGCTTTCCTTTCTCCTCTCGTCTCGATAGAGGAAACTCTCGTCGATCGAATCACCGTTTCTCTCGCAGAAGAAACTCATCAATTCAAACATCTTCAAACATCTTCAAACTTCATCGATCGGCGTCAACGAAATCGTCAACAATCGTTTTCCCCGACAAATGAAAAAACGAATCCACGTTCCAATCCTTGTATCACTCTCAGATCCATCAGGAACTCTCGTTCCCATTTTTTTTTTTAGAACAGATAATACAATTGTTATCCTAAAACAGTGAGAAACTCTATCTTCCGTCTCGTTGTTCTCGATAATGTTCCTTAATAAATGTCCTCGCGAAACTTGCCCGTATTCTTCGTTGTGTTCCAACACCATAATTCATTGGCCACCGTACGAATAGAAGAAACACGGATTCTTGGCTCACTACGTGGTGGATGGCGAAGTTGGAACCGAGATCGGTGACGTCGGGCTCATCGACTCCCTGCCATTGGACAGAGTGGGCGTCGAGGCTCTGTATTCGTTGTGGATACCGGGGGTGCTCGTTCTGTTATTACCCAGTAAACTATCGATAGAGAAAGGGTTGAGCCTCTTCCTCTCCTCCCTTCCCTTCACACTCAGGTCTATGCTACTGCTCTGCACCTCCTCCTCGCTGGTCTGTTGCCTGACCGATGTTCTTCCGGGGTTGTTCGTTGTTTGACGTGGTCCACCCGCGCTGTTGATGTTCACCAACTCTCTCCTTCTCTCGAGGAGGGAGGTCAGGCCCCAATGATGGATCCCTTGCTGGTGATTCAAGTGGTCCAGGTTCAGGCTCGAGTTTGGACTCTGAAGACTTCCCGCGACCTGGTTCACCGATCTTCGAGGATCGTTCTGATCGTTGCCACTGCTCCCCAGTCTCGAGTAACACTCTCCATCGATGGAACCATCGGCGGTGGAGTCGACCCTCTCGCTGCCGCTCTCGCTGCAAGAATCCAAACCCCCGACAACGTCTATCTCCTCGTTCGCGTCGTTGCCAGAGCCAGACACGCTGCTGCTCTCGTTGTTGTTGCTCAAGTGGTTGAAAGAGCTTCCCAGGCTTCCGTTCAGGGAGTTTCCGCCGGATGCTGCCGCGCTTCGGGACTCCCATTCGGCTCGAAGGGTCGAGAGGTCGACGGTGATTCCCTGGAACGAGAATATTTCGTTCTTCTCTTCTGGGGTTCCAGTTTTGGGGTCGTTTCGATATGAAGATTTATATGGAAATTGCACGGCTTAGAGATGGATTAGAGATTTTATTTAGAGAGAGAATGAATGGTTCACTTCGTACGATTACGAAGTATTTTGATTATTCGTTTTTCTCTTTTTTTAAAAATATTCGAAAGTGTGAAATGATATTTGATAACTATAGTTATGAGATTATTTTAATTGGGAGAAAGTGTAGAATTGAGGTAAGGAAGATGATTTATGTTATTGTTTTTTTTTTTTTCCTTTATCCTTTTCTGAAAATTCTTTGAAGATTGAAACGACAGTCGACAAATAAAAGTCGGAAAGAAATTACATTTAGATATTAAATTACATACGATGAAATTATAATCAATTATTTTTTTAACACGCTATCGAAGCATTAAAGTATTCTTAAATGTATTTGAGAAAGTAGATTGCATTAGTGATTACCTTTGCAGCTAATTTCCTCTGCTGTCGTTCAAGAGCTTTCAGCAATTTCTTCTGCCGCCTTTCCCTCTCCTTCCTTCTCAACTCTTCAGGTGGAATTGGTTCGCCACTACAGCTTTGAGGATGAGCGTTGTGCGCCGGCCTTCCTGGACCCTTCTTCGTGTGCTCCTTCTTCCTCCATTTTGCCCTTCTGTTTTGGAACCATACCTGAAAATAGAATAGAATCTGGTTATTATCTGTCCTGGAAGAGAAAGTATTCTTGACGAAAATATTTCTTAAAACGAAAATGAAATTTGAAAAATAATATTTATATTTAGAAGAAATTTTGGAAAACTTTTGCTTTTTCTAGAGCAATTCAAAAATATTTCTTGAATCTTTATCCATTCAAAAAGATTCAAAAGAAATCCAAATTATCCAAAATCTTAACCAATTATTCGGATATTTTAATTTTCCGAGAATTAAAAAAATTCCTTTCTCCTTTTCTTTTTTAATTCTTCTTCGAAACACGATTTTTCTCAAATGAAAATTTCCCAAATTTTCCAAATTATTTCGTCCAAATTCCTTATTAATTTTCCAACATATTTCTACACATTACTGTCATCTCTCCTCTTCTCTCCCCCCCTCCCCCAAAATCGAAAGAAAATTCTCGAGAATTTATCATCTTTATCCCGAATAATTAAAAGCACGTCCAAAAGGTGGACCCGGTCACAACGGTTAAATGTCGGAATTACACGAAGGAAGGAGGGCAGCCCTAGCCGAGGAAGCAACGACCCCCCGGGGTGTCTTGATTCATGGCGAGTTTCAACCCTTTGCTCGCGTGAACGCTCGCGGCGCAAAGCACGATTTAAAGCCGGCGTGAATTTCACCCGCTACTCGTTGCTTGGTTGGGAAAAGAAAAGGCACGGAAAGAGAGGCGTAAGGGGTTTGAAAAGGTGGTTGAAAAGGATGAAGACATTAGTTGCGGCTGTTGGCCGGTATGTGGCGCTGTTCTCACGCGAGCCACAGATCAATACACCCCCGCCAACCCCGTGTAACGCCATCCGCGTGTCACGTGCCCTCACGATTTCTTCGCCGCCCCCTCTTCCTTTCCACCCTTCCTCCTCCGACAGACGGGACGAGATCGAATCGGTGGAAAGATCGGATTGCCGCACGCGCAGCTGGCCATTTTTCAACGAAACCTACCTCCTTGCTTATAAAGAGTTCGATGAAAGAGTTTTATGGGGCCGAGTCTCTCTGGAAATGGGATGTCTGTTATCCGATCAGTTGGGAAATGATTTTTAATTTTTTTCTTTTTTCTTTTTCGAAATATTTTTTAATATCTTTTACATTATCTTTGTAAATCGTTGTAATTCGCGAGGATAAGTGGGGATAAGTGGTTGTAATTATAAAATAAAATTGTGATTTATCTAATATCTTCTGTGGGAAGAAAAAATTAATTATATGGCTACTGAACTTGCCAAATTATCTGAAATAATGATAAATTAGAAGAGGGGGAAAGATAAATATTTAAAGATAAATATTTATAATAATAATTGTAACGGAATACACAGGCGTTATATAATTTTGTGATAGAATTTGTTTATTACAAATTGTATATAAATATCGAGAATATTTCTAATTGAATATTATTTAAATCTTTATTTCAAACATTATAAATAAAAAGAAAAAGGATGAAAATGTTTTTTGAAATTGAATTATGCATAGAGTAATTATATTGTATAAAAAAAGAAATCATTCCGACCGACGTTTGATAACGCATCGAATATTACTGCAGTTATAAATTCATTATCAATCAAATGTCATCACCGGAAATAATAAACAGTATTAATTGGTCAACATTATAAATATTATTGGAAGTTTATTCAACGTCGCATAAAATGAGATAAATCATTGTCTAAAATTAAATATACTTATTTATGTTCGTCCAATCAGCGATAAAATGCTTTGTAATGCAACATTAACTAAATTGAAGAAAAGAAGATAAATAAAGAAAATAGGCAATAATGAAAATAAGCAAGATTTCTTTTAATAACTCTAAACTTGATAAAGAAGGAGAGAAACATGGAATAATAAATTTATCGTTCTGAAACATCATAATTATTCATCGTATAGATAATTTTTAAACAAATATATCCGAAAGAAAGACTTAAGAATTGCATATTTTAAAATTGATAATTCTCATATAATCTAATCATTTGGAATATATGCACAGAATCAATTTTGTAATTTCAATTTTTTTCCAACACTTTACGCGAAAGAAAATTTCATTCCTCACGATTACTTCTTTTTTTTCTTCTTCTTCTTCTTCTTCTTCTTCTTCTTCTTCTAATTCTTAGATGGAACGTGTTAATTAATTTCAAAGTTTTGGTCAATATCGAATAATGTTCCAGGAAAAGCACGCATAATTTTTCAATAATTCTTTAAATATAATTTTTTCTATTTCATGAAATAACATTTCATTTCCATCAACCTAACATTATCGGCATAAATCACGTTGAGAGACGTTTCAAGCTAATTACATCTACCAGTTGTGTCAGATATCCGTGAAGAAATATACGGCATATTTCCCTATGCATTTTCAAGGATATCCACGTTTTAAGGCGGTTTTCTTATCCGTACAGCCATTTTATGGACACTTCTCTCGAGGAGCAACGTGGTCGTAAACCGTGGGCCAGAAAAAAGATGTTACACGTTTAGCATCAGTCAAAGCGCATGGTAATCGATGGAGTAGCTTGTTAGTGGTTATCAGTGGCGATAATTTCTGACGAATCGTGGTAATAATGCCGAAATAACGATTTCTGCTTCGTAACTCGGACCAGCTGCTCTGTCACGTCGTTCTTCCCATTGATAATGAATGAAAATTGAAACATCTGTGGTGCACAAGTACAAGGTTTTTACAAAGTGATATACTTTACGGGAGGGTGAAAAAAAAAAAAAAAAAAAAAAAAAAAAAAAAGGAAAAGAAAAATTTTGTAGAATTCGATTTCCATTCCTCCATGATCATTTTTATTCACAAACGTTTTAAATAAATTTATTCCCTACTTTATTTGGAAAAAAATATAAGTTAATAAGTAATTATCATTTGGTTAAAGATCATTGTGATTTTAATCTTTTGTATTTCTAATTTTTTCAATTTCTCTCTGCTCGACAGTTAATATTACATAATAAAATATTATATACACCTTTAAAAGTTTCTCTCAGGACATTATTTCTTCTTTTATCTTTCATTTTTATTACACGCTATTCATTACCTAAATAAAATTTAGTTTCGGGAGAATCATCGATTAAAATATCATTGGCAAGGACATTGGTAATTTAGAATTTTTTTTATAAGTAAAAGCGTAAAAAGAAAATAATTCCGAATGAAAAAAGAAATTTGACACTGCAATAATTACCATGACACCAGGCTAATTAGTATTCAGTCCGGACGGCTCGGTTTATTACACGCCACCAATTCGTATGCAGGGAACGTAGAACGCGTCGTGCGTTCTGTCGAATCGATTTACGCCGACAAAACAAAGAAATCTCATAAAATGGCAATATATATTATACAACTGCTAATTAACTCCGGATAGAGGAAAGAGGATGATTAATTTTTAAACGGTGTACATCTTTATCGAAATCGTGTCAATGTTCTCGTAGTTGGATAATAATTCTCCCAAAACTTTATCATAGATATAAATTTTTATTATACAATCGTATCGTATCTGAAGATAAGATATTATAAAATATCTTCGAATATTTTAGAGATATTCCAATTATTAAAAACGCTCGAAGAAATATCTCCAAAATGTTTAAAAACCAAAAATTGTCAAAAAAAACCTATCCAATTCTGTAAAATATATCGCGAATTTCAAAAATATTTCAAAAATACAATTGAGTAAATAATTATCGTTCGAAGGAAGAAAAAAATTAAATTTATATTCCACAGAATCAAAATATCAAGATGTGCAAAGATTTGGAAAATTCCCAAATCGTTCTCCTTTCCACTGGACTTATTTACAACAAAATGGACCGGTTTTCTGACACGATGCCTTAAACGAATAATACTGAAAAAGAGAGAAAATCGGCTATCGTTCGTGTTGTTTACCGTTCAATTGATTTTTAACCAGCATCTCTTCCTTTGGCTCCCTGTTTCGTGTTCACGACAGAGATCTTGTGGAAGGGAAGGGGCAGGTTGCCGATGTCGATGGTTTTTTTCTGTAAATATGATAATGATACCGCAGGATGGCCCCGACGACGCGTGGAACGATCGACAATTAACGAGCACGATATGCTTGCCCTTCATTTAAATATAAACGTAGCATGGTGGACGAGAAAATGGCGCTTTTTCGACGAGTTGTCTTCAGGCGATTACTGTCTTTGAATTGATCTCCATTTTTTTTTTTTTTTTTTTTTGAGAAACGTTTGTTTCATATTTTCGTTTCGATCGTGTTTTATTAGGGAACCGTTTATTTATTTAAATCTAGATAGAAATATTTAATTTAATCACGGAACAGATATTTTTTCAAATTAACGAGGAATTAATTTTGACGAATCAGAATTGAATTTGAAAATATAGAATTTGTTTCTATTTATTCGAATTTGATAGAAATATTTAACGCGAGATATTTATTTTTTCTTTCTTGAATCTGAAAATTCAAGAAATTTTTTATCTCTTCGTTATTTCTTGCCAGGTAAATAATAATTATCAAATTTTGGATAAACGTCAGAGAAAAAAGAATTATCTTATATAAAATTACAAAGGAACAAGATCGAGACTTTTTCCTCTTATTAATCTTTTGACAGAGGATGTTATTAATATCAGGAACGGATAATTGCATTTGTATGAAATAAGATAAATACATGTCACGAAATTTCTCAGAAAAATAATATGCACGTGTACATAATATATATATATATATATTTTTTTACTTTCAATAATAATAAATTAAAGGAAAAATACATATATTTCACACAAACGTCAATATCCATCGATACATTGATTAAATAACAGTTATTAAATTTCTTCGAGTAAGTAAATTCTTGGACCAGTTCTGGTTCAAAATTCGAGCTAATAAATAAAGAAGTAAGAGAGAGATTACCTAATTTAAAATACAGATATAATAAAGTGAGTTGCAAAAGCCTCGATAAATTATCTTATACAAAGAAATTCATCTATTCAACTCGACTACTCTAGAAAGTCGTTGTGTCTATAGAGCATAACTGACTTATACCTGCAATTTATTTCTTTGAAACTTCATTCTTCAACACTTATTATTATTATCAAACATTTTAAAATTTATATATCTCGTACAAAATAAATAACATACCTCGTAAAGATTGATCCCATCCTTCTCTCCAAATAATATTATTAAATAAATCGTTTCACGCGTATAAATATCTATAAATCCATTACACGCTCTACATATATATATATATTCATACATGATTTCCCACGAAATGGAATTACCTCCGAATAACATAACAATTTATCTCGTTAAAATATCGCGCGAATAAAATCGTTTTTTTCCCGAAATCGAAGGAAACACGATCGCAGAAAGAAAATCAAAACAAGATCGCGAGGCTCGCTTTCTAAACGAGACCCCACCCACCCACGCCCGCGCCACGTCAGAAGAGGAAGCTGACAAACCCGTTTAAACTCACAAAACGCGGGAGTGTTCGCACGAGACTAATGAATTCGTCGCGAGATCGAGCGAGATACCGATCGTCTCCAACCGCCGCCCTTACTCGAAAGCCGACACCCACGTGATAAACCGGCACGGGTGCCGCCGTCCAACACCAGTTGCCCGCGTCTAACCACGTGTCGTCCGTTTATCTATCTCCCCAACAATATATTTTTCAAAAAGATCTTCCGAGAAACCAGCATCCGCGCCCAGGGGTTATCTGGCGCGGCCATCGAATATCTAATCTGAGGAGAAGAGCCCGTTGGAGAAGAGGCACCGGCTGCATCGTGTCACCGCGGTTATCTCCTCCGGATCGATCCCTGTCATCAAGGTAGATCGGTTTTCGCCTCGAAAAAACCAACGATCGAATACGTGTCTCGCGCGCGGTGATTTCAACGACTGGTTTCGCGTGTCGCGGTTACGTTCCCCTTTAATTTGTTAATTTGTTTCGAGAGAGTGAAGGAATATCGGAGAATTTTCATCGTAATTGAAATAACTTTACTTCAGCTACTTTTTTCGCATTGGAATCGAATATTGATGTAATTTTCGTCTTCGACGGATTATTCGATTTTAACTTTCGATCGTCGTTGTTTGATGCAATTATTAATTTATCAATTTTATCAATTTGGTAGGTATTAGAAACTTTTTCTAGAACAATGTTGAAAATATAAGGGTCGAATTGAATTTTTAATAGGAATGATTAAGAGAGAAGGAAGGGTGCGTTGCCACGTAATTTGGGAGAGAGAAGGTGGCCCGATTAATTGTTGGAAAGCAGAGAGAACGATTGCGCTGTTCCAGCGGCACACGAACCGTATCTAACCGTATAAATATAAATATCTTATCGACTGGGGGAAGATATGAGGGTGGCTTCGTGCCCGATGGGCCGTGAAATTGAGGGTCCACCCTTCGCCGGTCCCACAGAAAGGACTACCATTGTGTCACGGTTTCGTATTTATAATAGCAACAATTCTAACTAATCGCGAATCTTTCCACCACAGGTACCAAACAACTGAACGCAACCAACTTCGAAAGGAGCCTCTGAGTTTACTGGAATTATACTGAAGATACTTTAAACAATTTTTGAAGAGAAAAGGAGAGCAAGTTAAACGCGAATAAATTTAATCGTGGATTTTAATTCAAAGGTTGAACGATATCGTTCCCATTCCCCTGAATTTCACTTGCAAAGGAGAAAATCTATTTTTCATTACGATCGCAATGTGTTTTGCGAGGAAATAATGTGTAAGGAACCACCGTGGATGATTTTAAAAAATATGGTCTGACAATTAGAAGCGAGAAGCATCAGTGATTAACGTGAAAAACGAGCACCAGTCATGAAGACCGATGTTAAATTGCGATTCCTTTTCTTTTTTTTTTTTTTTTTTTTTGTTTTAGTTACATGCAATTCCACGACTTTCACGGAAAACGATTCGCGTGGTTCGCCGATTTATCCGGTCATCGGGCTTCCGGAAGAATAAATTAAGAGTATGATATCGTTCGCTTTTTTTATTTCATTTCAAGACGTAATGTTAGATGGAGACACGTTAAACGAGGATGGAAAAAGATTCTTCTTTTATAAAGCGATAAAATTGTAAAAAAATAAATGTTTTCTCGCCAAATCGATTTCGCGGCTGACAAATTGTCCCTTTGCACGAAACGTCTTATTACATACGTACACTACACTGCTTGGTCAAGAATATCAAGATACTTATATTATTTGCTTCGAGAAAAAAAAATAAATAAATAAAAATAGAAAGCCTGTGGTGGAAAGATTCGCAATTAATTAGAATTGTTACTATTCAATTATGTAAATGTGGAAATTGATATTTTCTACGTCGTGAAATCGTTAAGTATATTAAAAAAGAAAAGTCTAAGAATTTGAGAAACAACGTATTAACCTTTAAACAAAAAAATCGACAGCATTAAATTCTAATTAATAGCAAAAATTAAACATTCCATAATTTTCATAAAGTTTGGAAAAGTGATTAAAAAAAAATCAGGTAATTTTCAGAACTGTTTTCAGAAGAGGAGAGACGTTTCAGAAAGGAACAATGGCGTCCACATAAAAATCAGTTCATTATTCAAATGGACACGGTCGACGAGTCGAGGTCTTTGGTCCCGGGATAGATGTTCCTCAGTTTACTACCCTCCAACACACTGGACTGTAAGGTAACCACACTCAGAATCGAGCAGATGGACTAACTACCCTCGGGAGAGCAGCTCGAGGGCCGAAGGCGCCGAGATCAAACCGCCCCCGTGTCGTCTGTCGGGCATCAACCCTCGAAAAATGACGGCGTACGCGCCTATAAATTCTCGCCTATCGAAACGGCCGATCTGGGACGTCTGATAATGGTACGCGAAACGTGAAATCAAGTCGCGATAAAAGTGCATTTTTTCCTCTCGAAATTATGGAAAGAAAATTCTCGCATTTTATTAATCCGAAATTTTGACTCGATTTAAATTTTTTCTTAATTTTCCTGATTGTAAATTTTATTTAAACGTTACATCTTATCCTTGTTGAAGTCCAACATTGTCTCTTCCCTTTTCTCGGGATGAAGTTACTTTGAATTTCCCTAATTTCTTTCGATTCAATTCAGATTTCGAGTTCAGAATTCAATAAATTTCTCGATACACTTTCGAATCTCTCTAATTTAGAAAAGTTGAAAAGCTATACGTCTCCAAGAATCTGACAATTCATTTTATTTATTATCTCCTCGAGCAATCTTTTCAACCCGTACACCATCGAATTCGTTAAATTCGCCAAGCTCCACGGATCCATTAAATTCTTTCAACCCTTCGTCGACCCGTTTCTTTTTTCGGTTTTTTTTTTTTTCTTCTTCCTCAAGGAGGATTATATCCTCGAGGATTCGTAAAAAAAAAAAAAAAAAAAAAATATGTGTACTCACAGCTACGCGGCTCTCTTTCAACTCGAGTCTCACAGCCAGAGCTTCTCGCATAAACACATCGGGATAATGACTCGAGAGAAATGCCCGTTCCAATTCCTCCAATTGCCAGCTATTGAAGTTGGTCCTGCTCCTTCGCCTCTTGCTTCCACCTTCGTCCGATTCGCCATCGCAACCTGAAATTATAAATATATGTACGTTAGAATCTTGAAGATTTTAATGAAAAATTACGCGTCACAAATTTTTCTTCTTCTGAACGATTTTCTTCTAAGTAATAAAATATAGTGGACGGAAGAATCTATCTTCATACTTTCGTCAAAATCAATTTTTGTCCAACGATTATTCGAAAAATAATTTTTCTATACATCAAAGGAAACTTTTCTTAATTAACCCTAAGAGAAACGTTTAGAAGGAAGAAATCTGCTAACTTTTCTTAATTATCCTAAGAGAAACGTTTATCGATATTTTATCGAAGAATACGAGGAAGAAATCGGATGGATCCGTGGATACCTCTCGATTCGATTCAATGTTTCTTAGAAAAGTTGCAGTGATCGCATGGAGAGAGATCTCGGTTTCCGCATAAAAGGGGGAGGAAAACGAAGATTGAAGCCTTATCGTCGCGAAATTGGTTCGAGGCATCGTATCACCCGGCCAATCGTCTCTCAGATAAGTCTCGAAAACAGAATCCCGGGCATATTGAATAAACATGGAATTTCAGTGATTTTACGAGGGCCCTCGTCCACCCTCCAACCCTTATCCGGACCGAGAATCTGCGGATCCACGATTGTTTTGGCAGACATCTCCGTTTCCCGAGCGTACAAGAGCTGATACGTATGCTAATGCAGGAGAGGAGGAATTGAAAAAAGATCGGCAATTATGATTGACTCGGCAATAAGGCCGCCGTTATCTGGATCAGGAAATGAAATAGCACGAGACGAAACGTTCCTCGAGATCGGGATGATTGGAAAGGAAATCGAGTCGATATGTTCCGTTTACATTCACGTGGCTTCAATGTCCGACACTTTGCGTGGGCGAAATTATCGAGAAATTGAGTAGAAATGGTGAAAATTTTGTTCGATTCGAGTAACGTAATTTTATTAAATTGCATTTCAAAATTTCTTCGAAATCTCCGATAAAATTTTTATCGAGTCAGAAGAATTGATAGGAATAGAAAATTTTAAGAAAAGTTTACAAGAGATCGTCGATATTGATAGATCTTTGTCGATTCAATATCTCTCGAAGGAATTTCTTACTCAAAAAAAAAAAAAAANAAATTCTAATAGAATTTATTAGAATTATTAATTTCTCAAGTTTCATCTTCCACCTCGTAACTCCAAGAAATTCGATTTCTTCAAAAAAGATTCAATCGAAACCGATCCCCTAATTATCTCTTCTTAATAAAAAAAATCCATCTTTACAAAGTGTTAATCTTAATCTCCATAAATTCAATTTTCCTACAAACGCGATATTCAACTAAAAAATCCAACACACACGCGCACACACATCTTTATCACTTTACATTCGCGAAACGAATTCAGGAGCACGTTCACGCGCGTTCATCGGCGGAAAGGTAATGACGAGGGTAATTTTTCTTCCATCGCGTACGCGGCACGGTATTATTATCGGAAACGGGTATCAAAGTTGATAGATGGCGCAGGTAGCGCGTTAAATAATTTATGAGAGGACGAGTTAAACAATTTTCGCGTCCACCTCTGATCGTCCCCTCGATCTATTCTCGTCCCGAATCAGAATTTCTCCTCCTCCTCCCCCTCCTCCCCCTCCCCCTCCCCTCCCTTCTTTGGCGAACGAAGATGAGGAAGATGACGATGCCTCGCGCACGGCCCGATAATGTAACCGGCCGCATTAATGAACCTGACACGACGATAATGATTCGGTTAATTCGAGCGGTTGAAGCGTGACATCGTTGGACACAATGATCGACCGATCGTCCCGTAATCGTCGCTTCCGTAAATGGTATCTCTCAATTTAATCTGAGAATGCAGTCTGCGGCCGTTCGTCGAAAGAAAACACGTAATTGAGAGGATACCAGACGCCATTACTGTCGACCGACTTTTATTGGTTTGATGCTTGGATCGATGGTTGCCTTTGATTCCAGCTGATCCATCCTGATCGGTTTAATTATTTTCATAGGATGGATTGAGATGTTTCTCGGATCCCGTACTCTTCGAAACGAGCGTTTCTCAATCTTAGTCGATTTTTAGATAAATAAAAATGCTGTTTGTTCTTCATGAATTGCATGAATTTTTCCTTCTAGGGGGTGGTAAAGAAAGAAATCATGATCTAAATTTTTCTAGATTAAAAGGAAGAAAGGAGAAGAAATTTCGAAGCAATCTTTCCTTTACGTTGAATTTCCATAATATATGTACATACACCAAGTAAAATAACCCCGAGATTCATCCTCGATGCGTCACTTTCCCCCCTTCAGAAATATAAAAAAGAAATTCATTCCCTCCACGGAACCTTAACCACGTGTAATTTCACATTCGAAACGCGTCCTTACGTATTTCCACGGATGAAAAATAAAAGAATCGGCGAAAGCGATTTAAGCGGAAATCTGCATGGACGAATCCTCGATCCTCGATCCCTTTAACAATGTTAACCATACAGACTGTATGTGCACACGTATTCACACGTGTAATAATTTCCTAGTTACACGTTGGCGTAACTGGTCCTGGAAAATTGGCGTATCCCCTACTCGGAGGGTGTACTTAAAAGATCTAAGCAGCCGTAATGCCGTGTGTTTGTCACAGGAAACTCGAGGAGCCGCTTTATAATGACGAGTTTCGCCGTGTTATGACGGATTATGAATACAAATTATCCTTTGGCGCCAACATCGTTTTAATGCAAGGGTAATTTATTACTCTTAGCTCTTCGAGCTTAGTGCCATTCATCGCATCTTTCTTTTCTTCTTTCTTTCTTTCTTTCTTTTTTTTTTTTTTATCATTTTTATCTTCTTCTTTCTTCTTCTTTTTTTTTTTCCCTTCCTCCTTTGTTTCGACCATTGATTGAGTCCACGTTTAAGCTAATTGTCATCTCGCGCAGAGAGGCAATTCCGATACCGAGAGGGTTCGGATCGTTAAAAGATTGAAATGTCTTCGTTCAATGAGGATTACGATGATTTTTAGTGTTATCTGAGATGAGAGAAAAAAGATGCATATGAATTACCGTGTAACACGGTTTTATTATATGCGTGTTAGGAACAAGAATAGATAGAGGAGACACCTTGGATAATCAGCTCGTTTCGTTAATAAATCTCGAAACGATTGCTTCTTATTCTGTACGATCGTTTGCGCGAAACGAGCAATTTCTAGAGGCATTCCTTCCTTTTCATCATTCAGGATGAAAACATCTCGCGAATCTGTGAGAGATTACGAGCGTACGAACAAGATTATTTTCGTGTTATTAATGGACAGTGTTATAAAGTAAGAGTTTAAATAATACAAATAGTTTCACGATTTATCCTTTTTATCGTTTTGATCGACGATGATCTCGTTATTTCTGCCTCGCGATTTTCGTTCAATCTCGCGAAGCAATGAACCGAGCAATGAAAGATATTTAATTAATGAAAAGGAAAAGTTGATTAATTTGTCGATCTCGATGATATTTGTTTATTTTTTTTTTTTCCCCCCCATTAATTTATGATTCATTGTGACGCGCCTTAAACATAAAACATACATCGTTACGAAGAATATATTAATTACACGAATAATATCAGAAAATATATATCAATAAATTTCTATTCCTAAATTCAATCGTGCATAAATAACCGGGCATAATACAACATAATTCTTACCCTTCTTACACATTCGATCGATGAATGCGGCAATCCATCAACCGAGCACAATCGAATCTTATTCAGCGAAAGAACAAAGAATCCGAACAATGGAAAATGAAATCGGTATAGGATAATTCTCGGCGATCGTCCAAAGATTAAAAGCGTGCTCGCAGCGAAACGTGTCACGAATATAAATTTCTTTTCATAAGAAAAGAACACACGGACGTTGTCCAGCTGCTATTTATTTATTGCAACTTGGGTCGTCGAGGCTCTCCTTTTGGTATCCTCCTTGTCCAATTAAGATTTACCAATCGACGATAATGTTCGCGAATCGGCCGTCTCGTCGTTGACGAGAGAAGGTAGAAAGAGAAAGAGAAAAGAGAAGAGGAAAAAAAGGAAGAAAAAGATCGCGCATTAATCAGCGTAATTAGATGCTATTTATCCATTAATTCACTCTCTCCGTCTCTCTTCTTCGATACAAGAGTGAGATTGATCGAGAATGGATATCGATCGATCCGCTCATTATTGATAATCTGTACTCCGTAATAAGTGGACGATTCAGCTGTACACGGTGGCAACTCTCGTGAATAGCCGCCTCTATAACCTCTTTTCCTTTCTTTCTTTTCTCCTTTTCGACAGTTTCGAGAAATTTTCCTTTCTCGCTCCTTTTACGTTAATGAATTAATTTACGGATAATTTCAAAAGCTCGAATTACAAATCGATCCATTAAATTTCCATCCAGGTGAGGAGATCCAGCCAGTAAGTGATTCGTTGACGAAGGTCGAAAGTTTTCGAAACCTGGCCGAATAGAATTGGCCACGAAGGAAAAACAGAAGCCGTGTAGAAGCGTCACGAGTTACACTATTATTAACATCTCTCTAGTATAATAATAATAATAAGAAGAGTTTCAGATTATTATAGAAGAAGGAATAAAAAATGAAGTAAGAAGAAAAAAAAGAAAAAGAAAGAAGCTACTAGGAAAGGTATGCGCCGTCCAATAGGGATTAAGTAGCGATTCCTTGGTCATTGGTGCCAATTCGGCCGGCCCTGTCTGGCTTCCATTTCCACGGCGGCCGAGAAATAAGACATCGGTGCGGTTTTCGAGAGGAAAAAGGGCAGCGTGTAGGGTCGCGTGCGTCGTTAGGGGGCCCAACATGGCCGAAACGTATCATCATGCAATTACGCCACGCTAAGAACGTAAGCCGGCCGGCCGTCGCGTACACACCGTTGACCGCCATAAACGCGCACGAAATCCTCGCACAGTCCTCCTCGGGTATAATAATAATCGATCCTCGATCCTGGACCGTGAACGTCTACGCCGGCTTCCATACAGGTTTTTCGTAATTCTTCGCTTCGAAATTGCGGATATCGGGATCGTGC